CTCTGTTCAAAACCTCTGCTCCCTTGCTTTTTTCCATCTTCTCTTCTTTCTGTCTTTACGTCTTCCTTCTGTCTTTCTTTCCTTCCTCTCTTTTTTATTCTCTATCTATTCACCCCACACACCCCCACTCGTCTTGCTCCCTTTCCTTCTTTCTTTCCTCTCTTTTTTCTTCCCTCTTTCGCTATCTATTCACCCCCGCACTCCCTCTCCTCTTTCTCTCTTTTAATTTCCTTTTTTTCCTTCTTTCTTTATCCCTTTTCCCTGTCTGTCTCTCCCTCTTTCTCTGTGCCCCGGAACGACTACAGGGAGCGGAGCCACTCGCGTCCCACCCGTGCCTGCCCCGTGGGGCCGCAGGACGCGGTGCCGGGCGGTTCGGCCCGGCTCGGCCCGACCCTTCCCGCACGCATCACGACTGCCGCGGGTGCCCTTTGTACCCCCTGCACGTCCAAACTGCATGTCCGTCCCTCCGGCCCCATCTGCCGATGTTGTACCCCCGAGGCCCGCGGTAACGAAACCCCCCCACACTTGTCCCCAGCGCCCCCGGCGGCTCGCGGGTCTTCGTATCGCCTGGGGCCGAAAGGGAAAAAATTCTTATGTGGCCCTAAAAGAGCATCCCACGGAGAGAAGAACGGTGCAAAATCACCCTAAACAATTTTTACCCTGTGCTGGCTGCCGGAGTGCGTGTGACTGTGGGGAACTTTATTTCCTCGAGTGTCGAAGAAAGGACTGGTGTGGAATTTAGATTATTTTTTTTTAATTATTATTTTTTTTAATCACGGAACTTAGATCAAGTGGAATAATGCTGATCCTCGAGCTGCGGCTGTGTTTCCTTCTAAATTTCTGTAGATGGTTTAGTGGTCACGGGAGCACAGGGATGACGGTTGGACTTGATGATCTTGAAGGTCTTTTCCAACCTTAATGATTTCGTGATTCTATGATTCTAAATATTCCCCCTCTCTCGGAATTGATTAAGTTTAATTTACAAAGCTGCGAAAAAGCACCTTTGGAGGAAGTGCACGTAGAGGGGGATCCTACCTCGCCGCGGTTTTGCACACACAAACTGCGCACCCGAGAAGCTCGCGCGTAGGTCTCGGGGTTGGATTTTGGTTTCTTTTTTAATTTATTTTTTGTCTCTGTGTCACTTCTGAAATGTTCTAAAAGTACAACAAAAGAAGTGTTTTCCTGCCGGTTTAAGTGGAGCCAGCGAGCTCTCGGCCTCCGCAGCCCCCCGCACCGCTGGCCCCGCAGTCCCGTGTCTCGAAAAGGGCAACGGGCGTGGGGAGGGGGGAGCCTGACTCTGAAACTCACCCATTTGCATTTTAATTGGGGGTAGAATAATTAACCCGGGTTTGGAACTGTAGAGGCAGGCGCGGGGCGGCCCCATGTGTGGCCAGCACCCAGGGGAACTGCTTTTACTCCCGCCTGCAGAGGAGACGGTGCGGGG